AACCTTGCCATGCAAAACCAACACAAGAGTTCAATTCACATCCATATTGAGCTTATTTTTTACTGCAAAGACTACAAATAACATGTTTGGGTAGGGGGCTAAACCAGACTTTCACCCCCATCGTATTAATAACTACTTCTCACAGAAACCCAAAGTTTGTAAAGATCATCTTCCTTTGTGTTGAAGTTCAAAAATTACATGTGTATACATGAAGGTTGTGGTTTTTTCCTCTGATGAGCATGGTAGGCAAATCAGGTCTTGTCTCTATCATCTGCCTGATACTTAAAAGACGCACTGTTACCCACAACATAACATATAGTTCTGCAACTGTAGGAGTGTGGCGAACGGAGTTAGTCAAGTAAATTTAAATGCCTTCATTAACATCAGATTTGTTAATATATCTCTCTCAAAATGCTGTGTCCTCTACCACTGTTACAAAATGTAGATTAGTAAATAAAATTCTGATGTTTCAGGAAGCAGAAACATTCACCTGTTCAACCATTCAAAATATCAACAATATTTTGAAATTGTTACTTAACTTGTAAGTAAGATTATGAGGTACCATTTTGCTTGTATGTGATGCAATTTGTCTTTGTCAATACAAAAGTACATCAAGTGTCTCTTCCACCCTTTTCTTCTATTGGTTTACACAAAGATATAAATTCAATATCTCATTAATGGAAGCAGAAGGTATTCTAAGAATGATCATAAATTGGAACAAGAATCATTGACAAAGCTAGAAATACAAAATGAATTATTTCTGACTCTGTATACACTGTGTAGAGTCAGACATTTTAAATTATATATATTTAAATTTTAGAAATAGGGAAAAAAAAGTACAAATTATGTTTTCTGCACAGTGTTAGAAAAAAGTGGTAATGTAGGCCTGCTGAAAAAGGAATTTTTCAGTTCCTGTGTTCAGAAGTTAAGCTGAAAAGCTTCCATCTCTGTTATGTATGTATTAATTTTGACTTGTTTGTCTGAAGTTATGAGGCTAATGGTAAAGTGCCATTGCTGAGGAATAGATGATTCGAATCTCTTTGCAAGATCAGAACTAATTAATATGCAGAAAGAAATGTAATACTTTAAGAACTTTAGAATTTTAGTACTCGCTAAGGATTTACTTTATCCTAGAGATTATTCAGTAAATTAAAAACAATGTAATGAAAATAACTTCTGCAAACTACATTTTTTTCACAGTTCATATCAAAATAGTCAGATTTGCGAGCTATGCTGTGTGTGCCCAGTAATAATATCATTGACATATATGGCCCAGCTGGAAGAAAAACTAAATGTTGTATATTTAAAGATTTCTGTTTGTTTACAATTCATCTTAACCATGAATGATCCTTATCTATTGAAAATTGCCTAGTGTGACATCTAAAATGATTCCAGAATTCAGAAGTTGTAGTATTGTTGGAAAATGTAGCTACCCTCTAGATATATGTTTTTGTTCTGTTTACTTTGATGTCAAGTTTCGTTAGTGTTTTTTGCTGTATAAACAAGGTCGGCCTGAGGTCAAGCGTAGCTAAGAACACTGATTTGAGCAAGTACAGCTAAGGTACTGGACCGTGTGATCCTACTCTTACTACTTCTTTCTTTTCTTTCTTTCTTTCTTTCTGTTCCATACTTTTTTTTTTTTTAATCAAATAGCAGTGAAGTCTAGATCTTATAAGTATTTCAAGAAATTGCATCTATGTGTTCCATTTTTTAAGGTTTAAGGTTAAGGATTATTTTGGACCTCAGTTTGATGTGCTATTTAATTGGGTACAGTATCACATCTCCTATACTGGATTGTATTTTTTACTCTTTTTAGCAGAAAGTTTGATCTATGTTTAAATTCATTCCATTTAATCCAGAAGTGCTAGATTTAGACAGTTGTGTAGAGGAGACTTTCTTAATAAAATATCAGACATCCCATTTGTGATATGTGTAAAAGGAATAGAGGGACAACTACATTTTTGTGTTTTACTTCCTCTGTAATTCAAAAGCTATTCAAAGTGGCTTCAAATTTTAGGGGAAGTCAAGTGGTTCCTTGGTAGTCCACTTGAAGTCTGCAGTGTAAGTCATTTTGTTACATCTCATGTCTTACAACAGCAAAGTATATTTTGGCCATACTGTATATATTAGTCAAACTGCCTCCCAGTACCTACTTTCTTGTAGTATAAACTGATTGGTACACTAGAATAAATAACTTTTTTTATACAAATCTTGTAATTTTTATAAGGCATTTATAACTGGTGAAATCACAACATTTTGAAGGCACCTGGGTTGTGCTTTTTTGTAACAAACTTACTGAGTCATCTGAGCAGTTCAGACAGACTAACTATGCGTACAAAGTCATGAGTGGGCTTTTCTGTTCTGAGTGGAGAAAGTACCTGTGTATCCAAGTGTATCTTTTTATATATAATATACACAAGTGTGGGGTTTTGCACATTTTTAAAATTTAGATTATTATATTAGAGACTTTTTTCTGTCTGCACAAAAGCTTTTTTATGAAATGAAGTGCTTATCTAAGCTTATCTAAATGATTTTAACATAATTCTCTTCAATTTATGTTTAATTGCTTGTAAAAACTGAAAAACGGAACTAGTCTGAAGTTCCCAGATGCTTATTAGCTTTGAAAATCCAGGATGGTGCTGGAGATGTGTAACGGAAAACTTTGGAACATGATTTTCAGCACTTGTATTTAAGTTTTGTCTGTGCCTTTTGATTAATGTGGATATTCTTTGCTAAAGCAATAGTGCAGGCTTGCTGCCTTTTGAAGGAGAGGAGAGGAAGTTGCAACCTGTGTAACCTGGAGTGGTTTTACTCAGATATTAAAGTATTGACTAGTACTTCGGAAATGTTTTGCTCCCATACCATCAGAGCCTCCTGTGGCTAAGCTGAGAAAATTAGAAGTAGAAACTGGGAAAATATTTGGGGCCGAGATAATTTTAGGCTTATTTAACACTCAATAGTGAAGCTAAAATGATTCTGTTGTTTGCTGACCTTTTTGACAGAGTACTAGTAAAAGCAGATGCATTGAAACGTGCTAGTTTTCACAGGAAATTTGGAGGTTGTTTTGTTTTATTCTGTTCCTGAGGTTTCTTGTCACACTACTTCTGAACTACAGGGCGTAACTTGAGATAACTGTAATAATGGTGGATAACAATGACTTTCATGAGCTGTCAATCAAATTTTAATCTGTCAATAATATAAAATTCAGTCTGATATAAGAACAACATGGGGTTTTAGATATTTGTCAATATCATAATTTTTGTTTTTCTTTTTAGAATATTCCTGATGTAGATGATGAAGGATATAGCATTAAACCAGAAGCAACACAGGATATCCTTTTCACTATTATTGTGACGAGTTATTTGATGATTACAATTCTTTGGAGAGAGAAAATAACGATTAAAGTGTTAAGTAAAGGAAGATGAATGACATTCATGCCTTTGTTGCAACCTTGTATTCTTATGTTCATAGCTTTTGTAAAATGTACAAAATTCTGTCTATCTTAGATTTTGTGTATCTGCAAATGGTAAAGATTAGATCAGATGTCTTGGGAACTTTAAATAAGACTTTTTGTCTGACAGTAAAAAAAAAAAACAAAGCCTGCATAAAACCTTTAAGGTGACAATGCAGATCTTTCTCCTTGAAAAGCTCTCAGAGAGTTTGTAAAGTTTGTAAACTTTTTTTAACTGTACAGAGTGGTTATCTGTTCTATACCTGTACCCTCCTGCTTTTTTAGAACACTGTTAAAAAGATGGGGTGCTCCTGCAGTTTAGAAATAGAATTTCTGTTAATTAATGAAGTCATTATACAACATGTTGTTTCTAATTGGTGCTTCTAGCTTTTATTGTCTTTTTAATAATAGCTTTGATAATGCAGATTAGATGTTTGTTACGAGTCATTTTTATGGAGGTTCATGATTTTTCTCTGCACTTCCTTTGAAGGAAAAAATTACTGTCCTCTCTTTTCCTCCCATCAGAAACAGAGAGAAGCTCTATTTAAGAGCTGTGAATAATTGCTGTAGATCTAAGTAAGCCTAATATGTTGGCAAAGTAGCTCATTTTTGGAAATGAATTCACTGAATTCTCTGCATACAGCAGATAAAAGGTAAACTTACACTTTCCAGTTACCTTAAGTTGTGAAAACTTTTAAGCAGTTAACAGCATGTTAAAGCAGGCTTTTTTCATAGTTTCTCTGTTTTCAACTTTGAAGCATATGCCTCTGTTGCCCCCAGTGAAGATTGCTGTACTGATAAAAGCAGTTTGTGTTATCTCCTATTTACAAAATTCATATAAAAGTGAAAGACTTCTATCCAGTTCCGAGAGGGGCATTATTTCATGCTTGGCATGTATTTATGAAAGGGAGAGAAGAGTGACCAACATTCGTGCTTTGTAAATTATTCATCTGGGTATCTTTTTCTACATTTTCCTTTTTGTTGTGAAACAATAGAAAAGGCCGTACATTCGGTGAAAAAGCTCAATGGTTTGCAATCCCTGTCAGCCAAGTAGTGATTCAACTTCTGAAAATCTTGACCAGTTTCAGAAAGTGATCAGTTCCTTTCCTTTTTAGGTCCCTTAGCCTCCAAGAGTGGATATTTATTCTGTTGATGTGAACTCTTGAGATGATTTGTTGAAGGATATTATTTTACCATAATGGCAGTCAGTCTTAATAACTCCAGTATGAAGTGTTGGAAAAGCACATTATAAGACCTGCCTGATTTGTAGGAAATGAATCTTGAAACATGGTGATACCTTTCAAGACAACATCTTTTGATGAAATGAAAAATGACTTATCTTTGAAATTTTCTTTTTCTAGATATGATCCATTTTGGGGGACAGATAGGCTGTAAGATGAAGATATTTGGCTTTTTCTTCACCACAACTCAGGGATTCTTTCAGTTGAAATGGATTTGGAATGCCTTTAGGGTTCAGGTTAAATCTTTGTCAGGGAATAGTTTGAAAAGATTTAATTCAAATGGCTGGCGTATTTCCATGTGAAAATAACAGAAGTGACGTATAGAATATGTAAGCTCCCCCTAGGTAGTATGAAACTTTTATGTTTAAGTAGAGGAAAATTTTCAAATTCTTTATTGACAAAACAAATGCATTTTTAAGACTTAGCATAGGCCTTCCAGAGCTTTTGTTCAGTACAGCTCCTGTGCATATAAAGAACCAAGGCTCAGTTAATCTGTGTATTTTCCTTATTTTGACGGCTGAGTTGTTCTGATTCCTTTTTTGCCAGAGATGACAGTGCTTTAAGCAGCTGACGTTGTTCAGTTTACTGTGCAGCCTTCTGTGTAACTGGCATCCTTTCTTGCAAAATTTTCAGTGCCACTCTGCAGAAGGGGCGAGTAATGGCGGCTGCCACTCCGGCTGGTTTCTGGTAATAGCGGATAGTGGCGCCTGCCACTACGGCTGTTTACTGATAATGTTTGGTACAGGTACCATGGGCGTTTCACTGCTAATTAAAAAAGCTAGGGCTTTCCTTCACTTGGTTTAAAAGGATTTCTTCATTTTCCATATGTGTACTAGAATTCCTGGTTGAGTCTTACAAATCATAAATTTAACATGCAGAAGTGTTGCTAATGTAGAATCTTGAATTTACCCTGATGCTTTCAAATATGCAGTTGTTCAGTTATATGACATAGTGCCTTTCAGAACAGAATACCATTATGAAAATTAATGGAATATAAAAAGCAAAATTTACCTCATAGTTGTTAATTTTGGACAGTGGATATATTTGAAGTGTTTATGTAAGAGCACAAAGAGGTTAGGCTGCATTTTTTTATCTGTGGTGCTCACTTAATATAAGCATTTTGTAGAGGGTAATTATGAAATGGATGAATTTGAAGTATTTCCACCTTAACTGAGAAAAACATACCAAAGCGAACCACTTCTATTCATCCAGTGATTCTGACTCTGAAGATGATGAGCCCAGGAGGTTCCATGTAGAAATAAAACCTGTCCAGCCAAATAATAGCTCTCAATATACCATGCCTTCCTTGGATGAATTAAAAGTATCTATAGGGAACATCACTCTTTCTCCAGCAATATCTGTAAGTTATTTTGTTCCTTGTATTTTTAATGCGTAGAAAAGTGGTAAAGAATCTTTAGTGTAAACATACATTTTACTATACAGAATTTGTTCTAGGTTCAAGTTCAATGATTCTTTTCTTTTCTTGTGCCGTAGGTCATCTTTTGTACACTTTATTGCAATGTAACATTAAGTAATTCTCCCTTCTCAGATTTTAACTTTCCTTTGATTTTTGGGAGTGCTCAGTCCTTGTCTTCCTGCTGTTGCTACCACAAGACATTTGAATACATTGTGGAGTTAGCTGAGCATGGCTTTTAACATAGTTTGCTAATTAGTATTCAATAATGTACAAACCTCTAAAATACATCATACAATGTGGATACATGTAACATTTACAGTGCAGCTTTATTGATGTATTCTGCTAATCCACAGAACGATCCTTTATATCATGAGATATTACAAATAGACAGTGTTAAAGTATGCTAGTACAATATTCAGATCAGAATAAGAACAGCTGTGATTTTAAGGAAGATATTGTGCATAACATATTAAAATAATAATGATGAATTTTCTCTTTCTCCCCCGCCCCGGCATTTTAAAAGCAGAGACACAGTCCTGTAAGTATAAAATGGCTTTTTATTCACATTTTTAGATTATAACCAAGTAAGTGTAGTATGTGAGGGGAGTTATTGGGAAAACCTTAGGAATATTTCTTTTCGTATATAACATGTGACACTTAAGCTGTTCAATTTTACTGCCCTAGCCTGTAAAGGAATTTAGTAATACTGTTCCCTTTGTCAGCTCTACAGTGTTTGCTCCTACACTTTCTTACCAGTGTGGCGGTGTGCACTTGTTGCTCTGTCCTGGCTCATGGTCTGGTCTTCTGCAAGCTCAGAATGTTTTGCTGGGCATTGAAAGCAAAGTATCTCATAGAAAGCTGAGTGGTAATAAGAACCCTGAGACTATTCAGGATTTTATTTCACCATCGGTAAAAGAATTTATTCCTTTTTTTTTCCCCCTGTTTCAGGCACAAATGAATCGAAATTCATCCAGTAAGTATGAATCTTTAACTGTTAGTCTATTTATGTTAGGTTTTTAACATAGCATGAAAATAGATGATTTTTTTTTAATTGTTGAAGAAATAAACTTCTTAAGTATCTATATTTTAAATAGAAAAAAATATTATTTTGTCAGTTGTACATACCTCTTCTTTTCCTATATGCTCAGCTGTTCCCTGTTGTGGGAAACAGGTGAGGCTGTCTGTGACAGTGATGAGGAACACATACAAAAGCCAAAGAGGGGGGGCCATGGAAAAGACTCCTGTGCAAGTTCTTAAAACCCTTTCACCCACTCAAGTTTAGTGTGATCCACACAGCAGCAAATCACATGCTCTCTGTCTTATAGTCAAACACAAAAAACCTGGCCATGGAGATAGAGGACAGAGCAGTAGCCTCTATCCTGTACGGGTTTTTTCAGTAGGAAACCAAGTCAGATTTGCTGAAGAATAATATTGATGTAAACAGTACAGTTTAAGGAAGACATTTCAAGTGAACAACACTTCCTCCCAAAATGCATTGCTCTCCTATTAGAAGGTATTTCCGGAGGATTTGAATTTATACTATCAGAAATAATGCATTTGCTCTTTTCCATTTTAATAATTCATAATTAGTTTTGAACTGCAACCATTAATATTTACTATCTTTTTATAATGAAGCTGAAATTTTAATTTTAGAGTGTCACAGCTTTGGTGATAATATGTATCTTTTGTTTAGGTGAAGAGTTAGCAAAATCAAAGCTTTCTGCTCCAACTAATGAGTAAGTTCAAATTTAAAATTCTACCAAATGCAGTTTTGCAGGAATTTGGTCTTACTTTACTTTTATACTCAGAAACTCATTGGAAAGATTAGCTCACTGCTATTTTAAGTCAGGCATCTATTGCATCATAAGATTTAAGGAGTAATTATGTAACAATGGAGATTTCTATTCATTTGTTTTCCCCTTAATATGCATTTGCTGCATTGTGATCTGTCTCAATTGATATTTATAATTTCATGATTATAAAATACTCATTTTTATTAAAATCTCAGGTTTTAAATAAGACACGTTTAATTTCTATCCTACACTGTTCCATGGTAAAGTGTTTAAGATTACAAGCTCCAAATTTGGATAGGTCTGTGTACATGGCTTATGTGTGTATATACTGAAATAAATGGGTTTGAAGCTGTATGTCTCCTTGAACATGACAATCATTTGACTGACATTATGAAGTGTGTCCCCACACAAACTTGCACCAAGGTGTTAGCTCAGATAGTCTCCTTATGTGTAAATCAGTTCCTTGACCTGCAGTTTGTAAGTACTTTTTATTTTTAGATGCAAAGACTAACTAATAAGAATTTTTCTAATTTATTTATCAAATTATTATATTTATTATATTATCAAACTACTACTGAAGTTGCAGTTTGATTTTTATGAGTATATACATCTTTCATTTATATTCCAATTGTAACTCTTAATATAGAAAGGGGAACAGTGACCTCTTGGCATGGGATCCACTCTTCAACACTTCTCTTGAATCTTCCTCTTCAGCTTCCTTGGCATCCTCATCCCCTTCAGGTAAAACATTTGATAGTAGAAAATGTTTTCTCTATATACTTCAGGATGTTCTGTTGTTGCTTTTTTGGTTAGTGCTAGGGGATGTGTTTTGACTATTGAAATGAAAGAATTTTGTAAAGCAGTATACTGTGTTTTAAGTCATACACAACTGAAGGTGCAATATATCAGGCTTTCAAGATAAGGGAGCAAGGGGGAAGAAGGAACACTAGAAACCTTAGGACAATTCTGTCTTACTTCTGCCTTTTTTTATCGCCTCTCACTTTCCAAAAAAATTATCACCACCTAGAATATAATCCTATTTTTTCAGCTGGTAGGGCTGGGAGATTAAGTGGAGGTCGTGGCAGCAACTGTGAGACAAGCTGCGCTTGCGCTCTGAGTAAGGACAGGTTTCTTTCCAGGAAAGTCCGTTCGGCTATGTACAAAGGCACCGTGGAGCTTTGCTGTGAGGAACTTGTTTCCTGTAGGAAACCATGATTCTGTTAGGAGATGTGCAGTCATAATCCAAGGGCAGCTGGATAAAAACAGCAGAACTGAGACTACACTTGAGGAGGAGTGCCTGGCACCACCTGAGAGCGAGTGTATTGGCAAGAAAAGGGTGGGCTGAGGACTATGGGAGGGGGAGGGCAGGTGCTGCGTGGGAATTCCGGGGTGCAGGATTCTGGAGGATGGTAGTGTGGGCAGGATGCTCACAGGCTTTCCTGAAACCTGGTCTTTGAGGGAGAGACAGAAATCATAAAAATAATAAAAATAGTGAATATTGATTGTTACATGCAAAAGGCAGTGAAGGAGAGGGAGGCAAAATAGCATGTGAGTGAGTATGTGTGTTGAAGAGGCTGAGATCAGGAGATGTTGAGAAACAAGTTCAGAAAGAGGAAGAAGAGACCGAAACAAAAGCAGATGATATGGATATGTTAGGACCTGCTTACTAAAAGTATTTAAATCATTTATGTTGAATATCTCAGGGGATTTAAAGCAGAATCTTCTGTGTACTAACAGCAGCGGATACGCTGTTTCCATAGTTCTTTTCAGTCTACCTGCTGCATATCTTATTTTCCAGCCCCTGCTGTGTTAATGTAGAGACTCTTCTCCCACATGTCTGAGAAAGGAAGTGTTCACTGTGTCTTTTAGCTAGATATTCATATTCCAAAAATCATAATAGACCTCACTTCTTTGTTCACAATCATGGCTTTCTAGCTGTTTTCATCTGTGCTTGTTCACACAGACTAAAGAACAGTAAGGAAGAGTACACATATCAATAGGGGAATTCTGCACAACTGGTAGTAATGTCCTTTTAGCAGCAACCAGCTGCTGTGTAACCCTTTGGGATTTAAGTGGAAGTTATTCTTTCACTAAAAATTTTTGTTCCTTTAAAAGTTAGTTTTTTAACAAATCTAGCTTATGGAAATCATTAAATTGTCTCTTCCTCACCCGGTAGGTAACCAGTCTCTTGACTAGGTAACCAGTCAAGATTATTGGCTAGTGGATCCAAATTTGTAACGTATTTAAGGGTAGATATATATTACTGGAATATGCTGGAAAGAATTGGTGCTTTCTCAAAATAATCTGTTTTGCTAGCTTTGGTCTGGTATTGGGGTCTGTAGAGGAAGGCAGAGGATACTGAATTTGTTGTGCTGGTGGTTGTTACTGTATCGAGTTGTTTATTGCTACGCCTGGATGAGAAGTCAAAGGGTTAGGAAATGTTCATACAGACCCTCCTGGCAGTAGAACTGTGGAGAAAGTGGTCTCTGGCTGATGAGTAGTGACAGGTAATTGGGATCCGTAACATCCTCTGTAGCCATGTCAGGGGGGTGGCGGGGGAATGTCATTTACCCAAGCCCTCATACCAGAAAGAGACTTAGGCACAGAGCCCAACATTTCATTGAAATTGGTGGAATATAGTGTCCTGTGGGTATAAGTCAATTTTTAGATATGAGACACCTGTGCCCTGGCAAACTTTACCTGCTAAATAATTATTTAAAGGATTGTTGTTCTAGGAGTTAACTAAGATATTTATACTTGTAAAATGATCTGTAGAGTGTATAACAAATTACTAATATATTTGGAGGGAAAAAAATACTGGATCAATGTAATTCATATTGTTGTTTAAATCAAGTTCTGATGCTCACTAACCTGCAGGTTAATTCTAAAGACTTTAAAAAATACAGAACCTTGACCTGATTGTATTTTCCTTGAAATCAGTGTTTTATGTTCAACTTGAAGGTTAATAGAGGTAAGCTGATGCTTAAAGCTTTTGAAAATCTCAATCCAAAACTTAAATTACACAAATTAGTTGTTTGGTATACAGCATATCTGCATATCATGATGTAGCATGTCCCACAGATTACTTTTTTCTTTTTACTGTTAAAGCATTTCTTTAGATATTGGTTTGTAACTCTGTGTTAATCATTGAACACTTAAACTACCATGATATTTGAGCAGACTGTGGTTTACGCAGCACAGAAGTAAATTTCGGTCATCCATGAATAATCCTGCTTTGTTAGAAGTTTAAGATAACTTTGTTATCTTGAACAAACACAACAGACATTTTTTTAGCCAGCAATTGATATGGTAAAAATGCTTCTTTTTATTTATCTTCCTCACTTTCATCCATATGTATTTTTAAAATAGTTTTGAAGACTTTCACATTGCTTTTAAAGCCTTTGAATGATATTTAAAATATCGGTTAGAAAGGGAAAGCTATGTTATAACTCTGTATATGTGTTCTTAGAGGATGTACTTGTTCATGGTAAAAGGACCACTGTAGAGAGGGCACCTCTACTTTTGATCTGAACTTTTAAATGTGTTGGTCTCTTTTTTTGATTCTGTATGTCACTCTGCTGTTGCTTCTAGCTTTGCCATTGCAAGATGTTGAGAATTGACTAACCTGGCATTTTCTGCTTCTGTGGTTATCTACTGCAACAGGCGACAGCCAAGTGCAGGGAATACTTGTGGAAAACTCCTGTTTCCAGCAGTCTGAAGACTATAGGATGAGAGAGGAAATAAACTGGGGTGGATGATGCCTCATGTATATAGTTACTCGCTAGATACAGGTTGCTAAGAGTATTAAACAGGATCTCATGACTGCATTGTCTTCATTCATTCACTGGACAGCCATTTGTATTGGGCCTTCCCATTACAAATGTTAAGGGTAAGAGGATAAAAGTGTTTGGAAGGAACAGGATAGGGTAGGTTTGATTAGATAACTTTGAAAGAAATGAAAAGCAGAAAGGTATGGAGAGGAAACAAAAGTAGAGTAGGATACAAGAAGGAAAAAAACAAAGATGAAATGAAGTTAAACCACAACAAGGAGGAAGTAAGAGGGATAAAGAAAGTCATGAGAAGTAGGGCCTTAAGTGGAGAGAAAGACAACAAGTTACTTTTTGGCTTAAAAAATTGAAAGTGACATGGTTGGCGGTGTGAATGAAGTATGTGTGGTATGTGGCTCTTTTGTGGGGGTTTTTTTCTTTTATTTGTAAGTGGTGGGTTTTTAAGCCTAGTAGAGAAGTTATTTTTCATGCTGGCTAATAATCCTCATGGAGGGGATATTGAATACTTTTTTGAATATTGAAATTTTTATCTTTGCAGTGTTGGTCCTAGTTTCAATTCTTCCCTTTTCCTTCAGCTACACTAAAAGAGCACAGTAGGAGCTCCTCTTCATCTACCACTGATTTGCCTGGGTGTAGAGTATCTCAGTCTTTGCTTGGACACCAGACAGATTCTGGGTCTACAAGCCCATCCTCACCAGACTTTACCATTAGCACTTTGTGCAAATCTGGTGTTACAGCAGCGCCATCAGGGAGCACCAGTACTTTATCCTGTCTTTCACGGTCTCAGAATCAGTGGATTTCCTTTGCTGATGAACTTCTTTCAATTAGACGCACAAGCGCAGACAAGAAGGAGCCCCAAAGATTGCATTTTAAAACTGAAAATGCCTGCCTTGCCTCTTCTGCTTTGCTTGGGAATTCTTCCAACAGCTGTGCTTCTGAGGATCAAAGTGACCTTTTCAATAATACTATATGCCATGAACAATTATTCATTGAAGAAACTGGCGCTGCTGCTGAAATTTCTTCCGCATCATCTTCAGCACTACTGGACTATAGTTTAGTGCCTTCTTGTTCTCATACAAATAAGGGTATGGCAAGCATGCATTGTGTATAACTCTTTGCTAATAACTGACTCCGAAAAGCAAGCTTTGGACTCATTTTTCTTTTTGTTATCACTCACCTGATGTTTAAATTAACTCATCTTAGAATGTACTAAACTGTTTGTTAGTACCAACTTCCTTCAAAGTTAGAACAATGAAGTAAATATTCAGCTTGAAATAAGAAGAAAAATTCAAATTACTCAAATAAAGGCATTGCTTTCTCTTAACTATGCAGAGCTTTGCTTTTCTAGAAATAGGAACGATTTCTGGGGGGGAATGTCAGACAGCAGTGAGATCTCAAAGATTAAGTGACTGAATTTGCAAAAACAATTCTATTTCTAAACGGATTTGTACAGACATTTTCAGATTAAATAAAGTTAAATAAATTTGATTTAAAACTGTTCCTTTTTAACACCTGGTATTTTGAAGCATGGATGATATCACAGTAATGCTACATACTAAGAGGGCAAAGGAAATGTGCATTTGGGCAAGGTGCCGTGACTCACTGAATTCCTGTGGTACTGCAGCAGATTACTCAGTGTTTAGCATGCACTGTCATCTTGGGGCATAATAAAAATTTTAAAGGAATGACTGATATTTTAGAAGTTACTTTATCTGGGTACATTTGAGTTTGCAACTCTTAAAGTGGATGTGGTCAGTATTAGCCTAATTTCTGTCTTCCCAAGTCAGTGATGAAACTCCTGTACTACTTAAGTGACAGCAGAGTTATGCGGAATGCCTAAGAAAACACCATACTTAAAAGTTGCATTTTAAATAACATTAACTGATTTAATTAAAAAAGAACCATCCAGAATAATTTGAGGGAGATAATAGGATGTGCTGCAGCAACATAGTCATATATTAGGATTTCAGTCTATTTTGAAGTTAATTTTAGATCTGTCATATTCATTGGATGGCATCTAACATTTATTTTGAAAGACAGTTCAATTCATTCTCTTCAGAAAAGTGACTTTGTAAAAGTGGCATCTTTGATCTGCTGCCACCATCTGTTAATTGTTTCTGTTGGGTTTAGAAGGGCATGGAGTCAGTATTTTTTTTTAACTGCTTTTTACTTCTGATAGCTTGGCTAAGAGATAATAAGGAGTTAATGTGTTCTTACCATCAACAGAGTAATTCATCTGTTACACTGGTGCATACTTATTGAAGTCAGTGGGATTTCAGTGGGCAAAGTTTGGTGTAAACAGAGCTATGCCATTGTCAGTCAAGACCAAATACGAATTTCCACTGAATTTTCTGTTTGTGGTGAGACATGAAAGACTGTCCTATATTCTGAATCCATATAGATTGTGTGCAAAAGGAAATTCATGTAAAACCATCTTTTGACGTACAAACCTCCAACAATAGTTGGTATAAGTTAATTTGAGAGCAGTGAGAAAGCCCATGATGCCATTTTTAGAGTCACTTTTCAGGGTATCATATGGCCCTATTTTAAAAGCATTTCTGATTAGTGGTAAATCTTACAAAATGGAGCTTGTAGAATAGGAATAGAGACATAAATTCCAGTTATTCTATTCAAGTGAGTACATATTTATGTTCAGTGTGACCTTTCTAATATTTATTTCCTTAAATTTGCTTTCTTTCAGCAAGGCCCACAACTCCTCTTTCTGTAGGCACCATTGTACCCCCTCCAAGGCCTGCTTCAAGACCAAAGCTGTCTACTGGGAAACTTAGTGGGATTACTGAAATAGTATGTATTGATTGTTGGGGTTTTTTATTCTGCATTGTAACTTGATTTCAGATATACCATTCATTTTCACTGTTACAGTGGAGTTACTTTCCAGCCAATGTTCAGGGAATCACATAAGCAGATTTTTGCCATTGCCAGATAGGCATGGAAGTTGTTCATGATAATTATATTACTATAACAAAACAATTCTTAACAGAATTACAAAGATCCAAAACATAATTTTTGCATAGGCTGAATGTTTTTAATTAAATCAATAATTTGATAATGAAAGGATAGCATGTGTATGAGATTGAAGTTTTCAAAATGTGAAATAGTAGCAAAGTTATTAACAAAGCTCCATTGATTTAGGGATATTGCCAAAGCTTTGGGGAATGCCTGGTATTAAGTAGATCTTTCAGTCATGTGTTGACACAAGTAGCCCTGCTGTGACTTCTCCCTGCCCTTGGTGCTGGTTGGTGGAGAAGGGAGGTGGCAGATTGCAGCAGCTGCTTATCGGGATAGTGAGGGGTTGCACGCTGCCTGCATCTCTGCTCACTGCCTGCAGTGCAGGTCCACCTGCCGATAAGGAATGTGGCAAAGAATGCAAATAGCCAGACAACGTATCAGATGGAGCCATGCTTAATCTCCTCTGTGAATATTAGGATTCTTTGGGTTTCATTTGACTTACTGACTTGGAAAAAAAGCTACTGTGGTGAGATCCTCTTACTGTCTTTCAAAGTAGCAAGATATTTTCACCATATTCTTGTTATGGACAAAATTTCAAGTTTTACACTTTGACAAAACTGAAACACTTTCAAACTGTTTTGCATTTCTGTAAGATCAGAATAGGGTTAATTTTGAGATTCTTTTCTCATTCCAATATAGAATTGTAGTAATTGGTCTTAGCCAAGGAATCTGTTCTTCATATCATCGTAATTAAATAGAAGAATTTAGCTGGTACTGTTCTGCTATAAAGTATGATTCTGGGCAAAGGTACATTCATGTTATACTGTTGTATAATTGGCTAGTATCTGGATACACGTGGAAGACTGCCAGTTGTCTTCATTATATATCAACTTCTTTTACAATTCCTGTAGCTGGTATAAAAGCCACATACCCAGCAACAAGTGTGGCAGAACCAAAAAAAAAATCAAAAAAAAATCACACAGTTACCCAGCCAAAATAGATGCTTCAAGGGGTTCCAGTACCTTTCAGATAGGTTAATCCCAAAATGATAATTAGTTGGTTTAATACGTTAACAGTTAAGTGAATCATAAAACCATCTAGAGATTTCGGATGGAAGGAACTTTTGAAGATCTCTAGGCCAACTTCCTGCTCAAAGAAGGGCCGACTTCAAAATTGCATCAGGTTGCTCAGGGACATGGTGAGTTTTGAAAATCTCCAGAGAGAGAGAGATCTTACAGTCTCTTTGGGCAACCTGTCCCAGGGTTTAACCATGAGGTTACAAGAAGGAATTTTTTCCCTAAGTTCAGCTAAAATTTCCTTTGCTGTAGCTCTTGCATCTCTGAGAAGAGCCTGACTGCCTTCTTTGTACCCCCTTTTAGCTAGTGAAAGACTGCTAGTAGATCTCTCCTTAGGCTTCTGTTCTCCAGGCTGAACAAACCCAGGTCCTTCAGTCTGTCCCTCTCTCTCACATACTCTGGTCCCAACTATTTAAGTTGCCCTCTGCTGGACTTCCAGTTTGTTAGTAGCTCTCCTTCAGCTCTGTAAATCCACATTTGCTGCACACATACGCAGGGCTGTAGGCTTAGGTTCTGCTACTGTGTTAGAGCACAATTATTGACAGGCTGCTATGTAATCAAATATATTAGACTTAACGACCCAGGCCAAGAATTAATAATGATGATCTATGAAATCATGGAATTGATTCCAATGGAAAATGTGGGTTCTCTGTTTTACACTAAAAGCTAGGGTAGATAAAGCATTAAGGAACTATGTTGAGAAACGCCATTAAATTGTTTGGGGCATGAAATGAAAAACTCTTCTATTTACAGTCTTTTTTCCTCTTTCTAAAACCACTTTGCGTAATATTCTTTTAATCTCTTTTGTTCAGCCTAGGCCATTCAGCCCTCCACTGACCTCTAACTCAAGTCCACCACCTGCAGCTCCCTTGGCTCGTGCAGAGAGCATTTCCTCAATATCCTCTTCTGCTTCCCTCAGTGCAGCTAATACACCTACAGTTGGTAAGTTAAATTAACCATTTTGACATATTTTTAGAAACAGTGTAATTCTGCCACTAGGTTTCACCTGTTAGGAAAACCATTTGCTGGAGCTAGTTGTTCCATATGAGAATCCAGTCTAAGTTCTTCAAGTATCCTTTGCAGTTCCTGCTTCTAAACAACACTGAGAGTCAGGACAGTGGATTTAATTAGATTAGACCATAGGTCCAATTACAGTATGCTCTTTGGGGAAATATTTTTCAAAATTATTATTCCATGAATTTGTATTTGGTACGCTTGTACATCCATTCATCGAGCATAATGTGCTATCATGTATTTGTTCAGAAGATGTTATTGTACAGGTGCAGAAATACTTTGGGATACTGATAAATTTGAATGAATATAACTGTTCACAAAATTTAGTTCTTTTATGTTCTTTTTATTTTGTTTGTTATCCTGTAATTGCAGTTTCCAAAAAAATGAAAGTAATGCATCTTTTTCTTCAAGTTAATGAAGTATGTAAGTTAAACAGAGGTGTTTACTAAAAGCAAACTAACAAACAAGGTGAAGATGAAAAGCAAATTAGTCTTCATGTGTTGCCACTAATTTCAGAAGGTTTTCTCATGTTTTTAAAGGAAAGTCCTTCAGTTTTGACATTGGTTTATAACAAATGAAAAGGGGACTTATTAGGGAGTTTTGGTTTTTTGTAAAGACATTTTAACTTGTTTCTTTAGCAGAACTGAAGTATTTTGTTCCTGAACACTGTTACCACTTTAGTCCCAAATTAAATCAGATTCTTCAGTTAACACTCAGTTATCTGTGAATGTTACTGATGCCAAGGATTCCTCACCCAGGCTTAGCAGCTCAGGAGAGCACCTGCACAGCTTCTAGTGGGAGTTCTGCACTGAAAGCAGTGCAGGTGTTTCCACCCTGTGGAGGACCAAAGCCAGTAAGGTCTGCCCAGCCTTAGCTGCTACAGTTTACTGTCTGCCAGTATCCCAAATGCTGAGAAGCGTCACAGAAAGATAACTGATATTTTCGTTGCCAAAGTCCATCCAGACTCACTTCCTCAGGCCTCAGCACTGGTGCCAAGGAACAAAAAGTTGGTGGCAGCATCAGTAGCCCCAGCTCTGACTGTGTGTGGTTGGAGACAGTGACAGTGAAATCATGAGGTGAGGGAGGAGGTAAGGAGGTGTGTGCCAGCACTGAGGTTTGATATGGTTATTAACCTGGCCTATCAAAAATAAACAAGGCCAGTTCCATCTGCACTGACTGTATGAATTAAATAGTCCTGGAGAGCTGTGAAGGACAGTGCAGATGGCTTAATGACTTTGGGGCTTGAGGCTCTACATTACTGTCTGTGTTTTGACTTTTGCAAAATCCAGTGTTTCCCCTACCCCATTTGTTCTGAATAATGGTGAGTTGACTCTAATTATCTTTCTCCAAGTAAACTTTAAGGCATGCATAATTGAATGTTTCTTTTATGCTTTAGCCTTATTTTACTTTGCAAAATATTTTTATATATATTAATTTTTTAACATCTATTTTTGCTTGAAATATTTTGCTTTCTTGCAATGTTTTGTTTCATTTAAATGTAATAGAGGATGATCTTTTGATTGGAAACCTTCCTACAATTGAAAAGCTTTGTGACACACCACCAGGTATTGTACTCAAAGCTGATTTACATGTTAACTAATCATCCTAATACAGTACATCTCATAAAATTGTATTTCTTTTGAAACAAGTTTCTTCAGTTATTTCTGCTATCTGGCAGATACAAGTAGCTTGAAAGCTCAACTACTTAACAAGTTATATGTTGCTGAAATCACCAAAACTTGATATAACCACTTTTATGTAATGTAATCCTCTGTCTATCCCCCCCACTTCCCCTAAAACAAGCTGAAACTTGGTCTTGCTTCTTCAGTTTGTCATTACTACTTTCTTTCAAGTATAGTGAATATTTTTACTTCGACAATCCTTATTCTCATAAGGCAAGTAGGTACAAATGTTTCTCTATTTTCATATAATACAAATCTTTGAAGATACACATAATAAAGGTAATCTTGTTTACAAGAAACTTTCTTTTCATGATAGCTGTTTAGCCAATATTAAAATTGTCTGAATCTTTGTTCCTAAACTGAATTAAAAACATTTGATCAGGTTTGTTTATTTGCCCTTTTTACGACCAACGATGCAGTCTTTTATTCTGTAGTTTAGCAACCTCCTTGAGTGTGTCAGTGCAACTGTTTGCATGGCTGTGTCACTGGCTCTTGCATCAGCATAGCTCAGGGGCTGTTTAATGGTGGTCAGGGCTGCAGGAGGCAGGGCATCAAAGCTAGTTTTGCTGTCACTGCCGAAGGTGCTTGCACTGTAGCCTTGAGCCGGGCTGCAGCCTGAGATGCAGCGAGGCTGCCCTAGTGTAGCTCGGTGACGTCCCATCCCTCTGAGAGCTCACAGCAGGCATGAAAGGCTCTCAAGCTGCATATTGCTGCATTGTGTTGTATTTTCAGCTGCCAGGCAACAAAACGATAACTTCCAGAGTTAGGTTAAGCAGTTGTGTTTGTTTCAATTTATGGGTTTTTAGGAGAACACGCAGATTTTTGTGAATCAAAGGGTGATGAACAGTGGGGGCAGAGCAAATAAGAGAGAAGCTATCTCATTTGTAGTCCCTCAAATACATCTAAGAGAACTGTATATACATACATATTTGGTGTTCCCAAAAAAAGTAAAAATAGTGGTGGTGTTATTCCTAATGAATTTCACTCTTAGTCAAGAAATTAGTATTTGTCTTTTACCAATAGGAATATCATATATAGTTGACTCTGCATGATTTTCAAATAACAATATAAAAATATACACAAGGCCGTTATAAGTAAAAGATTTTAAAATAATTTATACATCTGTAAACAATGTCATAATTAATACAGACTAATCACTTCCTCTCTGCTCTGCAACTGTTTGCTACTCCTTAGTAAATTGAGAGAAAAAAGACAGTAGAACACTCTGGCAACTGTAGTGCCACATCCATTGAGTGCGTATTTTGGCTTTGGTGGAGAATACTTCTGAGGTTTAGTATTTCACTGAACAGAATTTCTGGTTGTTGTTAACTCATTATTTTATTGCACATTTGCTTCTTGAAATTATGATTTCTGGATTCCTGAGAGCATTGAGAATCACAGTTTTTATTTGTAGTCTTCAGGGAGAGAAAGAAAACTGTGGAAACATGATTCACGTATTGTCTGAAAAAAATAAAAACACCTACTGTTCATATTTAAAAAGTAAATAAGTCAGTGTTTTGTAGCCAGCATCATAATATTTCATTCGTCTAAGAATTTTTAGTTTTGAACACTTGTGACTAGAGTAACACTTTCAATCTAAGGAGTCCTGAATGTTGCACTAAATTTTTTTTCATGGTGCTGAGAAGTACTCTGAACATTTTACTACCTTAGGCAAGAAATCATGATGGAAAGTAAGGTAAGAGGTAGCAGTATTAGACCAACTCCTGTCTTTTACTCCCTTGTTGTTACTACTTCTTTCACTTATCTCTGAATTTAAGGTCTAATATCTCATATTAGACCTCCTGTGAAGAACAAGGATCCAACTTCCTTTTTGTTTCTGAAAGAGCTCAGAAGGCACAGCCACTGTTTTAGAGTAAATAGGGTATGTTTGCCATGAGCAATATTATATAGAAGGATTTTTATTTTTTTTTCAAAATTTTTCGTATTGCTCATGAAATGAGAAAGATTATGCCTCCTTTGTGATAGATAGTATTACGCAATACAGGCCATTTCAGCAGCGGTACCAAAAATTAGTAAGATGCTCTCCACTATGCTGCTGCACTAATAAAAAGGCAGAACTTCCAGTATTGTCTTATATTCAGTACACACATAGAAAATTGGTGAAAAGTAAAATCCCGTGACAGCTGGTTTTGTCAATCGTACACAATTTCAAAAAGCCTTAGCATGAGGTCTGAGTTGATTTTTATAGTTATGCATTGGAACTGTGTTGTATTGGCACAGGCATCTGTGAAGGCTTATCCAACAATTTTTGCTTGGGCATTGTAATCTTTGTTGGCTGAAATAGTTAAGCGAATGTTCAACAGTTCGCTTATGTGGGGTAATATTAATGTATTTGCATTTAAGGTCATGCATACTCTAAGTGAATTCTTTGCATTTCCGTGACCATTTTTCCATATGATAAGCATACAGTAGGGATTATTTTTTTTAAGAATTCTAGTCTATGTCTAATTTCCTTTGGAGCTGTTGACTTCACTTTCATCAGTAGCCATTTTAATGCGGTGTTCCTCTGTCTCATATGTATTTCCTTGTGTCTGTCCATTTACATAATGTCCTATCAATAGTCCTGTTTTCTTAGGCTGCTAAGCAGTGTTTTGATGGTGCGATTGTACTGTACTATGTTTATATTTTTCTACACACTTTTCAAGTATTACTTCAGGTGCTACTGTGACCTTGATGGTAGTAACATCTTGTGAAAATTACAGATGTAGTCAACCATTCTGAAATCTATTGCTAAACTTTCTGAAAATTAAACCTATACACTGTATGTATTCTAGGTGTTTCACGTGGTCCCAGCCCTGTCAGCCTTGGAAACCAGGACACCTTGCCTGTTGCAGTAGCTCTTACTGAATCTGTTAACGCCTACTTTAAAGGAGCAGATCCCACAAAGTTAGTTAAATAGTGAATTGTTTTGAATGTAATAAGTTAAAATAAGAAAACACACTTGGTTTATGTTTTGGGGGGAAATGTATATACATTAGAAGGAGGATCCAAAGGGTTGTTTTTTTTCTGGTATAAGTGACAACAGTAGCCTATTGCTCTGTATTGGCCTGCATCCCACTAGGAGTTCATACATCACTGCTTTACAAAAATGTGTTCTATGAGAACACTGAAAATGAGAAGGGTTTTTATCACAGTTAGGTAGGTGCTACTTGTAAATTTGGGCAGCTAAAAGTACCTCATTTCCTCTGTCATATCCCTTCCTATGCTACTTAGGTGTTGCCTAAGCATAGTTGTGCCATGTTTTCAAAGTCTGAAAAATATCCATCAAGACTACTGTATGCTTAACCAGCTAAACTTTTTTTCTTATTTCATCTGACTTCCAAGTTGAAAGTGACAGTACATTGTCACAGTGCCACATTACCCTCATTTTCATAGAATCATAGAATCTTTAAGGTTGGAAAAGACCTCTAAGATATCAAGTCCAACTGTCCAACTGTTTTAATTCAGCTCATCAGATTGTGAAAGTACAGTGATTTGCTTTAAAATTAGTATTAAAACTAGGCAGTTAATGAGTTGCAATGAAACTGATGTTTTGATTCTCTTCTAGATGTATTGTGAAGATTACTGGTGATATGACAGTATCATTCCCAAGTGGGATTATTAAAGTCTTCACCAGCAACCCATCTCCAGCTGTGCTCTGCTTCAGGGTAAAAAACACAAGCAAACTAGAGCAGATTCTTCCAAATGCACAACTTGTATACAGGTTTTGTATTTTTTTTAATATAATAGTAAACTACATGATTTGTAAAATGTGAGGAGTTGTATATGTAAATCAGAATTCTGTACAGTCTTATTGATTTGCTTATACATTATTTATTTGCCTGAATTAATATTGTTCAGCTCAGTTCTCTCCACTGCCACCATTAAAAATCTTCTCAGTGATTCCTGGACTTAAATTTGTGCTGAGTATAACAGGAGCCATTAAAAATACTTTGTAAATGTAGCTGTGTTTTTACATGCATTTTATAAATTATTTCTATATACAGTAGTAACAATGATAAGATTAAATGATGAAATAGTAGCCTTAAATGGAAAACAAGTAGTAGGAGCTATAGCTAAGATAATTTGTCACTTCTACAGTAGATCAGATCTCTTACATAACTGTGTCACTCTGAGTATTCTAACAGTTCACCTCTAATTAGAAAGGATGCAGTAATGGATATTTACAAAGTTAAACCCATATAGTAATAATTTGACTTTTCATCATATACTGCAAAGGGTATAATTTGCTTGGTATTAATAGAGATTAAAGTTTTGAATGAGAGTGATATTTGTGGTGATGTAGAAATTTCTGGTTTGAACGCACTTGGTTGTGCAGCAGCAGAAAAATTTTACTACTGATTTCATTTATTTAAATTGTGGAAGGCCTCTGTACTGATAAGTGTTTATATATTTTACTGAAAATGGAAATTTTATGAATCACAACAGTGTACTGAAAACCAAATTCGAAGTAAATTGGACAGACTACTGGTACGTAAATCACTGCTCTAGGACATTCAACCCACTGCGGTCATATTTACTGTGTTGCAGGTGCTCATTGTCAGCTTTCATTCTGCAGGCACACTCTGCATTGCCCCTCAGGGATCGATGCAGTTCTTTACTGTATCCACAGAAATTCAGAGGTGTTTGATTCTTACGTGATTTGAGTTTTGGTTTTGAATCAGTTTTCTTAAAAGCTTCATCCTTATTCAAAATAAACCTGATGCAACCAGAGCTGAAAATATTGTTGATCTGCAGAACACCATGCTCCAGTACCTCCCAAACAGGATTTTGCTACTGCAGTCATGTGCACTCTTACCTACATATAGAAGTGATACAATAAATTGTTAACTAAGATTGAATGCAACTATAAGTATCTCAGAAACAATTGCTTATAATAATTTGAAAATTCACTTCACTTTTAACTGAACATTTTGTGAAAGCTTACACTCCCTATAAATATATGAAAGTATGGTAACACATAATTCAGTATATTAAAATTGTGTTTTATTAAATATAAAATCCAAATTCAGCATTAACTCCATCTTGTGATGCAGATCATCCTGGAAGCAGAATTTTTACCAAATACAAGTAGTTAATTTTTCTTAATATTTAGGAAGGTACAATTATGTGTTATAAAGCATTAGAACAAATTCTTGCTTGAAATAGTGAAGAAAGAGAAAGATCTAATCTTAATTTTTAGACATTCAAAATAATAAAACTCAGTGTTTCCTTCTCAGTCCTACCTTTCTTTTTCTTTGCAGTGATGAGTCACAAAGTGACTCCAGTACTAAGGATTTTTGGATGAACATGCAAGCTATAACTGTCTACCTCAAGAAATTATCAGAGCAGAATCCGTCTGCATCCTATTACAACGTGGATGTTTTAAAGTATCAGGTAAACAATTTTTCCCTTTGGAATTTTTTAAGGAACTATGGCAGATTTGATATCAACACAGAAATTAAAAGAATTGTTATTTGCCTGCTAGCATGCAGATGAACTGTCATCCCTCATCTAGACCACTTCTGGGTATGTCACTGCTTACAGTGCATAGGCGCTACCCAGGCTTAGTGCATTCCTGCTGTGTGTCGTGTCGTTCCCTTGGATTCATGACTTGTTTCAGCTTGCTCACACATCACTCCAATTCATGTGTGCAAGCTTCAAACACTGGTTTTTTAGGTATTTGTTAGCAATGTAAAATTTTCCTTGAATTTAGGGGTTTTGGTGGGGTGGTGGTTTGAGTTTGTAGTTGTACTGTCTTTGATTCTGTAATTGCATAAGTTTTGGATGCTGTAGCTGATAAATTGTAATATATGGGAACATATGACATTCTGACCTCTCACAATATAATGGAACATTTCATCCTGGAAACAGGCATGCAAAGTACAAGAAGGTCATCTGTACTAGTCAGCATAGATTTACCAAGGGAAAGTCATGCTTGACCAAATTGCTAAAGTTCTGTGATGAAATGACTGGCCTGGCAGATGAGGGGAGAGCAGAGGATATTGTCTACTTAGACTTCAGGAAGGCTTTGGACACTGTCTCCCATAGCATCCTCATAGAGCAGCTGGTGAAGTACAGACTGGAGGAACATACACTGACGTGCACTGAGAACTGGCTGAACAGCCAGGCCCAGAGGGCGATGGTCAGTGACATGAAGTCTAGTGGGAGGCCAGTGACTAGCAGTATATCCCAGCGGTCAATACTGAGTTTACAGCTTGGTTAATGACCTGGATGGTGAGGCAAAGTGTATCCTCAGCAAGTTTGCTGATGACACCGAACTGGGACGACCCTCTGGTGTATCCTCCCACTTTGGTGTCATCAGCAAACTTGCTGAGGGTACATTCTGAGGATACACCTATTCTGAGGTCATTCTGCCCTCCGGAGGCACCTCAGCTAGCTGGAGAAATGGGCTGATGGGAACCTCATGAAGTTCAACAGGAAGCACACCTGGGGAGGAACAGCCCCATGCACTGAAATATGCTGGGGGCCACCCAGCTGGAAATTAGCTTGGCAGAAAAGGACCTGGGGGGCACCATGTTGAACACGAGCCAACAACATGCCCTTGCTGCAAAGGTGGCAAACGGTCTTCTGGGCTGCATTAGGCAAAGTATTGCTAGTGGGATGATCCTTCCCCTCTGCTCAGCACTGGTGAGGCCACCCCTGAAGTATTGTATCCAGTTCTGGGTTGTCCATTGCAAGAGAGGCATGGACCTACTGGAGACACTCCAGTAAAGGGCCACAAAGATGATGAAGGGACTGGAGCATCTCTCCAGTGAGGAAAGGCTGAGACAGCTGAGACTGTTCATCCCAGAGAGCAGAAGGCTCAGGAGGATCTTAGCAATGTATACAAATATCTGAACGGAGGGTGCAAAGAAAACAGCCAGGCTGTTTCCAGTGGTGCCCAGTGACAGGACCAGAGGCGATGGGCACAGAGAGAAATACAGGAAGTTCCATCTCAACATCAGGAAACACTTTTTTCCTATGAGGGTGACTGAGCTCTGGCACAGGTTGCCCAGAGAGGTGGTGGAGTCTCCATCCTTGGAAACACTCAGAAGCCATCTGGACACGGTCCTGGGCAACTGGCTCGAGGTGGCCCTCTTTGGGCAGGGGGAGTTGGACCAGATGACATCCAGAGGTCTCTTCCAACCTCAGCCATTCTGCTAATCTGTGAAACGATGTTCTGGCTGTCAGTAAAAAAAAATCTTCATGATAACTCAAGACAGATAGACTCACCTCAAAGGGAGAACAGAGATTTGCTAGGCCTGCATTGAAATGGTTGAACATCTGAGACAACTGTCTACATCAAACAAAATAACCTGCCAGCCTAGCTATTAATACCATTGTAATTTCCACATCCTCCCAACATAGGTTAAAATCTTGGCATACTGAATCTATAAAAAATGTTAGGCACACAGAATTCCTGAGGAAGATGGAAGGAACAAAACATTTCTTTGGATTGCAGAAGTGAGTACTGCGGAAGAATGATACCTATTTAAGATCTTTACTGCCAGGGGAAAATGAAGCACTGGCATGCGGAAGCCCTGGCAGATAGAAAAGATTCTGGGCTTCCAAGGAAAGGCGAGCAGCAGCACCAGGACATGGAAGGTTCCTCGAGTAGACGAGGAAGGTGTGGTAGAGATGCAGCAGGGCAGTAGCACAAGCTCAGCTGCAGAAGCAGCATCCAACCCTCCTGCAGCATGAAAATAATGCTTTGAATATCTAAGAACTGTTTTGCTGGCTGCCTGTCCCATAATGACAGGCATTGCCCTCTGCTGCTGGCTGCTTGGGCAGCTGAATTGGAATGGGACACAATTGCCAAGGATGAAGTCATTTTGCTGCAAGCATGTTTCTTGTGTGAGGCAGAACGCAAGACTAAAACAAAACTATTTTCACTTATAAAAGCCAGAACATGAAGGAGCCTCATGGGCCAGAGTGAGTTTAAACCTTTTCTTTAATTATTTTAATTTAAAATTAAAAGAACAGGAATTACTTAGGCTGCAACAGTTTTCAGAATTCTGCAATTAAGGACTCAGAGGTCAATTGTTCTCTTGATGTTTTGTCAGGATTTAGAGTTATATTCATTACTATCATTCCCTAATTCTGCCCAAAATGGCAATATTTTAATTAAGCTGCTTTCAATGCTTTATTCTTTTACAGGTATCTTCACATGGCATCCAGTCCACTCCCTTGAATCTTGCAACTTACTGGAAATGTAATGCTAGCACTACTGACGTGAGAGTGGATTATAAATACAATCCAGAGTCTATGAATGTGCCTAGTATGCTGTCTAATGTCCAGGTTGTGGTACCAGTAGATGGAGGAGTAACAAACATGCAATCACTTCCACCTGCAAAATGGTAATATTAATACTTTACTTTTTATTATTTCAGATTCATTTCAGTGTATCCATTAGTGTCATAGCCTGAAAAATTTCACTGGAAGAAACAGCTAATTTTTTTTTTGTCTTGATAAAATGCATAGTATCAGATGTTTAGGACATTTTCTGTTCCGAAACAGATCATGTGCAGCCAATTCACGTAAACTAAAATGAGACAATATGCACCCATTCCAACTGTGTAATAATAAAAGCCTTTATGAAATTTCCCATGTTTGCTTTCCTTTGGCCAATAGACAGGATATACATTTTTAAGACAGTAATTTGAAACCCACGTCTTAATGGTTAAAAAATATTCTGTGTGTATGTAAGTATATCCATATATATGCATTATTTAGAAAGAGCAGAAGAAATGCAGTTCTTAAAAAGATTTCTTGATTGTTCTACCTTAAAAATTAGCTTCTGATTGAAATGGTTTTAAAACAAACCTCGGTAACTAAGGAGCTCTTCATAAGCCAGATAGCATTGTCTCTCAATTCAAGCATCACGCAGATTATTACACTGAAGGAGGGTCGATTTAGATTAGATGCTAGAAAGAAATTCTTTACTGTGAGAGTGGTGAGGCACTGGAACAGGTTGCCCAGAGAAGCTGTGGATGCCCCATCCCTGGAAGTGTTCAAGGCCAGGTTGGATGGGGCTTTGGGCAACCTGGTCTAGTGGAGGGTGTCCCTGCTCATGGCAGGGGGGTTGGAACGAGATGATCTTTAAGGTCCCTTCCAACCCAAACCATTCCATGATTATCTAACTAGCAGCCACCTGCCACCACCTTCTAAGCCTGCCTTTACAGTAACACTTGAAAGCAAGATACAGATCTTAGGTAATTCTGTTTCTACAAGTTTGTGAAAACAAGCAGAGGGTGGTGGGACTAGGCAGAGCACAAGGTGAGCAGAGTTCAACCACTGCGCCTCTGGTTTGGCAGCACATAGGTACTCACTCAGCTGTAACGTAATTCCTGGGCTGTTTATTTCCAGTAGGGTCTTTTTGACGTGAAGAGGGCAAAGAATACTAAGTTGAAGGAAGTCAGACTTTGTTAACCTTGTTAATAGATCAATTTACTTTATAAAGCAAGGTTCAGAAGAAAAATAAACCTGATGCATTTATCAGATGGGTTCTGATGTTTCTGGAGGCAATATATTTAAATGTGTTAATTGGAAAAAGTAGTAATACAGTATCATCTTAAGTGGAAAAAATCCTGTCACAACCGAATCTTTCTTGACTTGTTATTTCAAGGCAGCAATACTTTAAACCAATCACCTTAAGCTTATTCTGAGCAAGGGCAGGTTCAGTATCCTGCCTGAACTAGAACATTTGGTGAAGCCAGTCCCCCTTGCCCAGGCTTCTTCTACAAACCACTCTGTAAAGAAGCCTGAGAGAGAACAGGTATGCCCACACAGAACACCTAGTGTGTTAGCTAGGAAGACTCAAATCTTAGTGACAGTTCCATTACAGATTCATCAGATTAAGGGACTTGGTGAAAGAGACAATCTGGGCTTTAGGCAACTACCCAAGGTCAAAATGTTGAGCCTGGAAAGCTGACCAAAAAAAAAAAAAAAATACAGTCATGTCCCAAGCAGCTCTAGTATTTGTGTTGTGCTGCCTGTTTGGTCTAGGGGATTGGGTGGTGGGTCTTTGTTTTAAGTTAATGACTCCTTTGGTGGAACTGCTGCGAAGTGCTCCAGGAGTTAAAATGCCCTGTCAGGTTAGAGACCATCGTGCTTGGTGCCCTTTTCTGACCCTTTACAGCGTCAGAAGTTAGCTTAAACCCCGTGTCACACCAGCTAGTTGTACTAGAACGGAAATGCAATAAAATTCATGCTGCCAGGAGTGTCACATAGGAGAGAGCAATCAACACTGCTCCCCCTCATACTGTCGTCATTAAACATAAAGACATTGCTTTCAGATTCCTTCCAAGGCGTTTGGCCTGTCCTTGCTTGCCCTTTGAGACTGCAGAGGGTTTTAAGCTGTGGATCCACAGCTGAGGCATAGGGCAGTGCTAACTGCATAAAAAGCTGGTGTGTACTTCTGAGCTCTGCTGTTCTGGGACAATGCAGACACACCCTTCTCTTCCTTTTGCTTTGTATAGTTTTCCACAAACTTACCTTAAAATGATTGAGTATTTTTATAAACCTCCGTTTAGAGATGTCTGTAACATACCGGTGTAAATCTAAAACTAGTGCTTATAACTAACCTACCATTCTCTTACAGGAACGCAGACCAGATGAAAGCATATTGGAAAATATCTAGCATTTCAGAGAAGTCTGAGAACGGAGGCAAGTTAACTCTCTTGTTTTGTTTGCTTGTACAGAAAATTTGTAACAGTACAAAGGTAATCATTTTGGCCTCTACACCCCCATGCCAGTTTACACATCTTGTTATGCTGTATCCTGTTTACCAGTTCACCACCTTCTCAACTGATTTCCTCCTGAGAGATTCCATTAACAGCGAGATGTCAAAATAGAAATGTATTAATTACCTATAAAAGGAAAAATAGTGAAGCCACCTGAAAGCAGTTAGTAGCTCTAAAATAGAGTTTAGACTGGGTAGGAAATTACTACATCAATGGTATTTGAAAATGAGCAGTTATGTCTTTCCACACACTGACAATTGAAATAAGCTATAAAGAGGTAAGTGGAAGAACTGGGAGGAAGAAGAAAAAGATCCAGAAGTCCTGTGCTGAGGTAGACTCAACACTAGATGATTCTTGACCAGTTTTTTGAGGGTCTTTGTTTTGACCATATATGACTCCAGGAAAAAAAAATGAATCTATGGACATCTGCTCAGAGTGGTAACGTATATAGCATTTTGTAAGGTACCAACAGTTGTCCTCTGCCCAGCTGCCTTTCCCTGCGGTCCAGCTGATGTCACAGCCCTTGCAGCCTCTGCAGGCGCAATGTTTTTCTGAAGCGATAAAATAGGAGCCAAAGGCAGGCATCTCATCCTCAAAGCCTCTGTGGAGAAATGAACTCATGGTGTAAAGGAAAGTCCTTTAGCCCTGTTAAGAATTTAGTGAAGGGCAATATGAAAGTGCAGGTTTGCTTGTAAATGTGACTGCTTTCATACAGAAACCACAAGCCTGGAAAGGGAAGACCTCTTTTATTTCTGCAGAGGCTGTGAAGTTGTGGTCATCATTCAAACAAAATCAGAGAAAATTTTATCTGACAGAGGTAGTTGCTGTAGTCTGGTGTACTTTGTCATTCACTGACCTCCGTCTTTCATTATGATTACGAAGGGAGACACCTTTTTTTTTTTCTTTTCCAAACTGTGGAGCTTCTTTTTTAAAAGAAAAACTCATACTAAAACACAAATGCGGCCAGATGAAGAGCTACCGTACACATGCAGAGCAGCATAAAACAGGCTGCCAGTGATGTAGATTGCATCTTGTGTGTGTTCACTACACTTGCACATATCCCCCTGCTTCTGCTATATTCCCTTCTCCTCCCACCATCTTTCTTCCCCTTTTCTTTGAGTATAAACACCTACTACTAGTGTTTGTGACGAAGTAATAACTATGTTGATCTTGCACTTACAGAAACAAATGGAGAAGTTGCACAAACTCTGTTAATATTAGGACAAATGTCTTGAAGTCTTTATTCTGGTGTACAGGCTGATAAAATGTTTTAGGGGTTTTTTATGGTCCAGCAGATCATGTGAGCTGTCAATTGCAGACAGGGATAAAACACAGAACAGACTTTGAAAGCACTTGAATACATGAGTTTCACAGTGGAAAGAAGTTCCAATTTACTCAAACTATGACAGACCTACTAAAGAAATGAAATGTACCTTAAGCCAAATTTATTAAGAACAAGCCATTGCATAGAACAGTTTAATTCATTCATTCCCACTTTTACCCCAGTAACATTTCAGTTACCAGCTTTCCTTGTCATTTAGCAGTTCCTATTAACTAGGAATAGCAAGTTGGTTTAAAGAAGTAAAAATGCTTGACTTTATTTCATTATTAATTATTTATATCATTTTTCCCAGTATATTTTGCAAGAATGAGAGAAGACTTGTTTAAGAACTAGGAAAAGAGATTAGTCACAATGTTGTGGGGGTTTTTAAATGCCTTGCATTGACTACAGAAATGTACTTGAAGTAATTTTTAATTTTATAATAGCTTTATAATAACATCGAAGTGATGACACTTCACTACTGTCTCTGAAAAATCAACTGAGATTTGTGGGAAAAAGTATTTAATCAGACCTTGTCTTTATAATAAAAATAAGAATTTTTTTCCTCTGGATACTTTACTGTATAGCTGCATTTCTTCCAGTAGTTTTGTTCATGTACATTTATCCAGTCAGATCATTACAACATTTAAATATTCTGATGTACTTTCAAATCTGCTAATGAAAATTAGTACATACGAGATAGGGGGTATTACATACTTACAGACCAGCAAGCATAAATGATGATTATAGGGACCAATCAGATACCTCAAGTAGTAAGAGATTACCAGGCTGTCTGATACACATGTTCTGTATAATCATGCAGAAATGTGTATAATTTCTTTTTAAATTACTCACTAGTCATTGTCTTAAACATTGTATTGGAAAAAAACAGACTTGTACTCTAATTTCTTTGGAAATTTACATTGGACTGCTGCTAGGAATAGATCTCAAAGTTTCACTTCTTACTACTAAAAATTTTCGGAGATGATCTTGTTCTTGTCAAACAGCCAGCTTTTCAGTTTCATTATTTTTATAGGTTCTGGATCCCTCAGGGCAAAATTTGAACTTTCCGAAGGACCCAGTAAACCAGCAACACTCGCAGTGCAATTCATTAGTGAAGGCAGCACCCTTTCAGGGGTAGATGTAGAGCTCGTAGGCACTGGCTATCGGCTTTCCCTCCTTAAGAAGAGATTTGCCACTGGTAAGACACTGACGTGCTTATATATTCAAATTAATATTATATATTCTATAGTGTTAAATTATAAAATGTGAAACTGTTAAATAAGGGATGCATAAACAGCTACTTTTCATTAACATGTGGCTGGAAACTGTTTCACAGGTGTTTTGGTTTTCCATAGTTACTCAGACTGCTCCCAGGAAAATACTGACAAAATCTGTTTTATCTATTGACTGCAAAAAACTTACCTTTATTTTTCAGGACGATATATGGCAGACTGCTGATGTACCTGTGAAAGTCATTGGATCAAAGGAGTGCAAGAAGGTCACTCTGCCCTCTCTACTTTTCAAACACTATTTTAACGTGCATTAATTTTTTCAAAATGTTGACCTACTTTGAGGCTGAACTACAGAACAGATAATGCACTTTTAAAAGTAATTTTGCAAACTTTATTACTTTATAATAGCACTGAAGTTAACTTCAACACTGTCTGTAAATTATCAACTGCAATATTTGGGAAAATTTGTTGAAATGTTAGTAAGTTTATATAGATGAAGTCAAAATAGGAATCCATAGATGTAATGAAAGTATTAAATTGTATGTTGTACTGTAAACATTAAACCTAAAAATGTAGGAAAGCAAGTAAATATTTGAGCTTTCCATAGGTAATACTAATTTTTCAGATTCTTTAATTGCCAGTTTTTAAAGAAAGCAGAGGCAAAGTCTCATGTAGTTCTTCCATCTACTCATGCCACAAAACCAGATGAGTTAGACATATATAAATGTAACTTGATGCCCATGTATCATATATTATTAACATGTAAGTTGTTTTATAGAGGGTTTTTTCCCTAAGTGCAATGCGTTACAAAATTGCAAAAGACAGCAGAGATTTACTTCTGCAGGTAGTAAATTTTATGGGCGTTGTGATTGTTTGAATTAATGCTGTAGAATTAATTTATTTTTATATGAATTGCATAACATTTGTGCCTTTAAAAAAAAGCCTGTGCCTATCCAATTTGTTATTCACGTGCCTCACTTCCTTTTTCAAAGTCTGGCTCTTCATGAAGAAAGCACGGTGTTTGTATAATGCACACAACTTTATAAAATTTCCTTTGACCAGGATTTATTGAGAAGACAGATTTGCAAAAACTGGAGATTGTTTTAAAAGAGGTTTAAAATACTGGATCACTTCCTCATGGGATAATTGCAATAAATGTGGCTGTAGTAAAGAGAGATGCATCATGCTGGACTTCGAAACTTTGAGATACTAACTTTAATGTCACCAAAGATAAGAATCCTGAAAAATCACCGACGATGGTCAAAGCAAATTGTTGAAAGCAAACAAAACAGCATTTCACTTCACTGACTGCACGTCTTTGGACTTTGAGTGCTTTTGGGGTTGCATGATGTGAATGTAAACATAGTACTTTGGGAGGAATAGCGTTTCAGAAGGGTATTTTATGGCAGCAGGATGACAAGTACTGCCATTTGTATAGTTTAAATTTCTTCTATAACCACCGATTTTAATGTTTGTATTGTCATCTAATCTGCTTGCCACAGCCTAAGCAAAGGGAAGTGACTCATTAGTAATGTTTTTCAAAGCAAGTCACTAATTTAGAAAATCTTACATGTATTTGTATTATCAAGTGTTTTTTCAATGCCAAAATCTAATGTATTGAGGCAAAATCAATAACATGCATGTGTGAATTTCTTATCACCATTTTGAAAACCAGTACCTATTTCAAATTCTCTATTAAAACAATAAAATGTGCTTGAACTAATTCATGCAAAACCAGTAATGAATTGGACTGCTGAAGTTTTACAATGAATTAAGCTTTGTAGGGGCTACATAAGTTCTAATGTATGCTACACACTTTTGCAGGTGAGAGTTCCAGTGTTAGCACTAAGCACATGCTGTACTGTAGATTTGATTGGAAGGGTATATTTGGCTTTTAATTTGCTCATCTTACTGAATAGTAAATTTGTAACTCATAAAATGGTACAGTCTTTTTACTGGAATCTTAATTGTAATCTGCTTTGCAATCAAACTGTTTAACATGACAATATTTTATTAATGAAAAACCAAAACTGTATTGCTATTTTTAATCAAGCATTACTTTCATTTCTGAGTTGAATGAAGTAGTTATGTTTTGGCACTTTTAAACTAGCCTTCATTCAGGTGATTATACATACATTTGCATTGGGTGCAGGTTACAATTTTGAAGCCATACAAGTTTATATAGATGTTTTGTAAAGAAATTTAAAAACAATGTAAAAAGTACATGTAGCTTATCTGATTAAAAAAAAAAAACATATGTAGCAAGCTGGTTCTTGCTTGTGTATACAGCAATATCTGTTGTAGCTGCCTCCTCAGAAAATTAATTTGTAAACACAACTCTAAAGGATCTGAATTTTTATGAATTGTTACTACATCAGACTGTAAATTAGAGCATACAAGTTTATCTTACAAAAATTGTAAATACTTCTGATTTTTCATAAAATGTAAATTTTAAAAAAATGCACCCATAATAAACATGTAATATATAATTTAAATACTAATTTATATTGTCTATACTTTTGCAGTTAGTCCCACTGACCTTCTAAGCAAGAAGAGAATAGAACAGCTGCATTGAACATTTTAAAAGTGTTAACTGATTTTTTAAGTGATAAGAGGTAGAGATAATATACAAATTCTATATATATTTTAAAAGCCCCACAGAGAAGATGGGTGGAAAGATGACTTTTGCAAAGAGTTGCATCTTTACTAAACTGGAATGCCTGAGATGTCTACAATGGCTTATGCCTTTACTAAACTGATATGCTTAACTAATAACTTAGATTAGACAAAACTGCGGGTGTTTATCAGAAAAATCTCAACTTCGTAGGCACGAGCCCCTTTCTGTAAATAGTGCTGTCAAATGCTGTACATTCCCTAACTTCCTTAATAAGCCTATATTTTGAGTGCATGGCTGAAAGATCAGTGACAAGATTAAAGTAATTCTCGCTGATTTCGCGTATTATTACACTACTGAAAAGTAGATGATTTAAGAACTAGTTCAGCAGTCTCAGAATAGTCCTAAGATGCAAGCACAGAAACAAAAGTTGAAACTGAACAAACATTTGAACATTTCCTAGTAATCCCACAGCCTGTATAAGTTTAGCGAGTAATGACTTAAGTTGACTTTCTCAGCTGGCTGGGTATCATTGCGATAAGTGCCATTCTTGTCATGCTGGAAAGCAATAGTCCAAGGGCCTGATTCTTATTTTCCGCTGGAAGGCAGAAGTGAAGAAGGCAAGTGCCCGACGCTCAGACCAAACAGTCCATCTAGCCCAGTGGTCCATCTTCAGCAACGGCAGAAGAACAGACTGTGGCATGGGGCACTCACAAGCCATTTCCCTTCTACTCCCCCAGCGTCCTCAGCCGTTTGTTAGGGATGTAGAAGGGCACAGCACTACTCGGATCTTCTAGTATTCACTGAACTTAAAAGTGTCAGAGATCACTGCTCTGTTAACATTTGACTTTTATTATTGTAAGCTGGCGCCCATGCACTACTCACAACTACTATAAACTGGATTTATACTGCTCAAGCAGGTTTGTGATTATCTAAGTACATGATCAGGTCGTTTTTCAGGGATAACTGACTACCACTGCCAAATGATATTTATGTAGGGTATTTGAAGGAGCCAAGGTATTTGATTATCAACTGGAACAGCGTGGGAGTTACAAGTGTGGTGGGTTTTGCTATCTAACTAGAAAGGAAGGTCTTGCATCATACCAAAAAGGATTACATTTCAAGTCTTGCATATTTGAAAAGCTTAAGATAGGCATCTTAATATCTGTGTACCTTTTGTTTTCTTGGAATTGCTAGGTAATTGGTTTCCATTTCAGTTGTCATGAAAGGGCAATTTTACTTTAGAGCATGCAAGAGAAAACTCAGGAATTCCTCCAAGGTTCAAGTAAGCTAAAAACAGTTCAAGGTACTAAAGTAGCAAATAACATATTTACTGTGTGGTGCCCTTGATTGGACTGATTACCAGGCCTCTGAATTGAAAACTTAATGTTTATCTTCAACTCTGCGTATTATTACACTACTGAGTATTCCCTCTCAACTCAGTTTGACCTCCATGTTCACTGACAGGTTGATTTTTAAGTTCTCCCTTAGTTCACTCAGTAACCAATAGAAAGCATACAGTCTTTAAAGAATAAAATAATCTTAAAAACACAAGAGGGCTCTTCTGGATTACTTACTAAACATTTAATACTCAAATTCTGCATTTTCTGTAGCTGCTTTCACTTCCTTTGGAATCCATTCTTTCCGATTTTAAATCTGGGATGGCTATTTTAATAATTATATTATAAACTATGATTTTGTTTGCTATTGTCCCAGCTTTTTTCCT